AGGATGGAAAAAAAAAGAAAAAAAAAAAGCAAAATATACAAGACATGAGAAATGGAAAATTGTTGATAACAGGTATGTTGATATGCTTGATTGAGCCAACAGACAGTGTATTTTGGATGGAAAATTCATTTTGTATACTGTAATGATGTATAGCATATTAATGTTAAAAAATAAATTAATAAAAAAAGTAAAGCAAAAACAAACAAACAAACAAAATAAAAACAAAACAAAACAAAACCAAAAAACTCATGTTCACGGCTGAACAGAGAACGGGAAATTTGGGGAGAAGGACATAAGTCCTAGAAAAGAGGAAGTCAAAGACTATAATCCTCTGGATTTCCATATAAAACTCATCAAAATTGCTGGTGAACTACTAAATACACATTTACAAAACTCAGAGGGACCTACTAAACAGCAGCTATTAGAAACTGAAAGAAACTGAAAATCAGCTCCTCATCCCTGCAAGGGATATAAAATCTGGAACTTGAATCTAGCCAGTTGACCAAAACGTAGAATAAAAATTGATCTTTTGAGATATGTAACAGTATTCAGAAGCTCCATTAAGTATAATTTAAAATAGGGACCAGCAGTTAGCATAATGGCTATGTCGCTGGACTCCCACGTAGTTGACCACAGTTTGCATCCCGGACCCAGTGGCTTAAACTCACGCCAGGTGCGTGTGCATGCATGCCCAAGATCCCAAGAGGAGAAAGGAGGAGAAGGGACTGTGGTGTGGCCATCTTCCCTGGTGGGTGATTTCTCACTTTCTTTCTGTCTCTCTGTCTGTCTGGCGAGTGCATGTGCCCTACAGCAAAACACAAAAAAAAAAAAAAAAAAAAAAAAAAAAAAAAAAACAACCAGTATAATTTACAATATCCAAGGTAGAATTTAAAATTCATATTCAATCAAATGAAATGTGACCCATATTTCAGAAATAAATTTATGGACTTGAAGGAGATGTATAAATGTTATAAATGAGGATTGTTGGTAGTAAAATAAATTTTATAAAAAGGGTTTTCAGAAACGTTCAAGAATGCACGTTGAGAACTAGAGGAGTAATGGCTGCCTGCGCTGTCAAAAGCTAAGATGTCCTCCTC